AAATGGTCATGCCCGCTTACTTCCTTTTGAAGTTCCATTTTCCCTAACAGAGTACAATATCCTTTTGATTTTGAGTTTTTTATTCTGTGTTTATTTGAAAAGAAATTAGGACGAAAAAAGCAATTCTGGCATCTCTGCCGCTGAATTCTGCGGAATGAGCACTTCTAGAGGTGCCAGTCCTTGATGTTTTCAATGCAGCCAAATGTACTCTGTTTTYTTGGTTTTATGCTGATTTTGACACAGCTGAAAGTGTGACAAATGTGCGTTCTCGAGRCATATATACAGAGGTGTTTATTTTTCTAAGATTGTCTTTCATTAAGGAAATACTGTTTGAATGTTTTGCATTCTTTGAAGTTCAGCAGTATTTGAAACCTGTGTTGTATAGTCTCTCATGTGTCTCTTTTTAGTAGCTTCTCTTTGACAACAATTTTAAAACGAGGATCATGTTTGACAGTATCCTGCAGATGGCTGTGACTGGTAAGATGCAGAGTTCTGATGTGGAAGAAATTTACTGTCAGTACCAATTTTTTTTATAAATTTTGAGAGATTCCTTCTATATTGACAGTTGTTCTGGTGGATCAAGTATTAGGTGTCTGTGCCACTCGTCATGTTTAGCATCTGTCACAGGCAACGGAGCTGTACCATGTACTGAGGGTAATTTGACAGCATAATTTGTGTTACTAATCATGGAACTGTGCCCTAATTCTTTTGCTCTCAATATTTTAGAACTAAAATCAAGGAAGGTATGCAAAGCAGGATTTTTTCCCCTGCTCTACAACAGTTTACCATATCGTCTTATTTCAGTTTGAAAATGTGAAACTTGAGTTAATCAGTTAAAAAAACCTTGAGTTAATCAGAAAAAAAGAAATCTATCACCTTTATGTATAGATGCAGATCGTTTCTGTATTCTTTCTACTTGGTATATTTCTTTGAAAACGTCTAGCTTGGACTCTGAGTTGTTGCTTCATATGTAGATAACTTAACCAAAGACTGTTCAAGTGGAGATGCTACATATCCATTTCGTTGTTCAGCTTTCAATTTGGTTACAGATAAAGTTCATTTCTCTAAAGTTGAGATCGAGATGTTCATACAAACCTTTTGTGAAATGTACTGTTATCTGTGGTAGGATTTACTTCAAGCATGTGGTCCCTGCATTGCTTAGGAAATGCATTGTGAAATCCAAAGTATGATAAAAATCTAGCTTGAGTCATAATCCAACCCACCTGTCTTTAGCGGATGGTGGGAAAATTTTAATAAATATTGTTTGTTATTGTTCATATTTTAATGCTCTTCTCTGACAAAATATAGTTTAGTATAGAATATTGTAGAATTAAGTCCTTAATGTCAGAATTGCAAGAGCAACTTCTATCTAGTTCAATTTTTCTATAATTTAAAAATAAAACTCCTGAAAGTATATTCTGTGTAATAGATTCAAGATACCTAGCGCACTTAGAAATAATTCTGTGAATCTCTGATATTTCTGTTTTTCTAAAAGCTTAGCCTGAAGTATGTGATTAGTATAGATTCTCAAGGTATATTCAAATCAGCATAAATTTCCTAGCTCTCATGAAGATAAGTAATAAGAAATTAGCTCAGTGKTGGAACTAATTCCTGGTAAAAGGATGTGATTGGGTCATACTTGTTCTTATGGCCAGATTATGTAAAAGCTTGATTATGAAACCAAAGCTTAACGTGAATATTTGTCCCTCTTAAAGACAYTCTAAGACTATTATATAAGATATACAGAGATATATAGAGATAGAGATATATATTATACAATTATATAAGACTATTCTAAGAGTAAAATATTGCCGGGTGTTGTTATATTGGCCTCTGTGCCAAGGTGAAGAGGAGAAGCGGCGCCTCCGGGAGCGCTCGCACTGAGCTTGGGAATGGACACACTGCACAGGTATTGCATCCACCTGGACTTTGCCGATCTTAAAACAGCGCTAGCAAATTAGAGATAAAGAAGATAAAGCCATAATTTAACTAGGCACATACAGTTGCCCTGTTCGTTCCAGGGGACTGAGATGCTTATATTAAATCATTTAATACACGGGTTGTTTAGTGCTTGAGTAGCTCCTGGTTGTCATGTGGTTTGGAAATCGGGGGCGACTTTCTCCACTAAACGTGGGGATCCTCACGCCTGCTGTCCCTTTGTTTGAAACAGTCTGCAGCTTATTCTGGCCTGTATTAAACCCTCCCTGATTAATGGCACAAAGTCTCCTTGCAGCCATGACCGTAAGGTAGATAGTTCCAGCAGCAAGGAATCCGCTAAGGAGGGAATATCTGTTTGCAGAAGCAGCTTGTTGTAATTTTGAGGCTTAAGGGGCCTAGAACCATCTCACACGTTTTTCATGGATGTTCAGCAAGGTGTCTCGGCCACCAGGCTCAAGGTCCTTCTGTAAAGCACAATGATAATATATAAACAATTCTGTTTATATGAGATTGCATGTGGGATTCTGCACCTCGTGTTGGCAGTTGTTTTGGTGCTTCCTATTTAAAAAAAAAAAAAAAAAAAACTGAGCACGTTTAATTGGAGATACGTTATTGCATAGAAGTGTTGCAAGGAGGGCTGAGGTGACAGAGGAATTTAAGTAACTGCTTAATAGCGTTTGATGTTTTGGGCAAATTGAATAGGAAAACATCTCTTCATGAGTCATTAATGAGCAGTTGAACTGGTTGTATCAACACTTTCTGTTTATAGGTTTTGTGATATAATTCTTGCTCAAATACCTTACAAGGTCAGCAAGTCTGTCCTAAGCCCTGGATGCATTTGCCTGAAACTTGAAGGAAACACAGAAATAACAACTAGATTTCAGGAATCCCAAACCACACCATAGTTCTCCCATTTCTCCCCATGGAATAGGGAGGCATAAATCTTTAGAATTAAGTTTCTTCGTCCTGTTGTAAATGATCACCTTAAGATACCAGTTGTGTTGAGGCTCAGCTAGGGCACGTCTGGAGCAGAGACTTCTCTGAATATGAAGTTCTGGAAGCCGAAGGCAGGACGGGTGCGTTGCAATTAGCAGCCTGCCCGCCTGCCAAAAGAGCATCCTTTTGTTCCGACCTTGTATTACATTGTGTGAAATTAATGGCATGTGATGGGCTTTGCATTCAGCTCCGAGAGAAAGTTTGTGCCCATGTTGCACTCGGCTGATTTATAGTCTGTGGCTGCTGAGAAGTGTTTTGAAATGTCACATCTTGGTATTTTGCGGGTTAGAGGAAACAAATGCAGAAAAATTCCTGCTGTAAATTAAGAAAAACAACAAATCTCACTTCTCCAAACCTCTTCAGTAATGTTTGGCGTTGGAAATGCTTTAGAGCTGTTGGCCGAGCTCCTTTTCCAGTAGATTTCAGTAGATAAAAGAGAAAAATCCTATTGTCTGGGTGACACAGGTGGCAAAACAGTGAGGAGCCTGCCCTAAATTGTGGTCACAGAACTGCAGAGCTGTGTCTGTGCTGAGAGTTGTTGCCAAGAACGGGTGTACCGAGCAAAGGCGCTTGTGTGGTTTTGTTAGTAATTCAGAAACCACAGGCAAGATTTCATGGCTTTAGAGGCACGGCGGGCTTTGAAAGCGCTTGAAGTTTTCCAAAACGTGCAAAAGCTTCTGACCTTCGTCAGGAACTTGGTAAACTTGGGGAGTGTTTTGCATGAGAGACAAATTCATTAAGACTTTCACTTTGAGGACTGCGTGAGTGTCTTGGATTTCTAATTTAAAAATCACCGTGGAGAGATTATACTTGCAAAGGCCCTCAGCCTAAACTTCCAGTTCTTGGTAAATTAATACCTGTGCCTGAGCACTCRGGGGTGTGTTCTGGTCTGAAAATAGAGCTCGTTTTTTCTTTTCTTTTTTTTCTCCATCTTGGCATTAATTTTGAGTATATCTGCAGAAGATCAGCGAAGTAAATGATCTTACCACTGTTAAATAATCATGAAGTGAATTGGGTTGATATCATTTCATTCGGAAAGAGGAAACTACTTGTGTTTTGTTGTGGTTTACAAGTATTTAAATGCTTCAGCTAATTGTCAGGCTCGATTTTGAAAGAGGAAGCAGAATGAAATGTGGGATGTGCTCAGAGTTTCTCATAGCGCTTGCCAGGAGGATCTGAGTTCTGAAAACAATTGGCTTCCTTTCAGATAGAGATTTTAATGAGATTATCTTTAAAACCGAAAGAATGTGCAAGTTTGAGTAGAAAGTTGAGCCATATTCTGACAACAGGTCGTGGAAGCCAGCAAAGAAAAAATGTCAGCCGTGTGGTAGAACTCATTTGTTTGGGAGAAGGAAGAGGAGGAGGCAGCAGGTGGTTGTCTAATGATTATAGTGAATTTATAAGCTAGGATGTGAAAATCTTTACTGATGAACACAGTCTGCAGGAGGTCTGAAAACCAGTTTTAGTGGCCCAGATATTATCTCTCACTTTTAAGGTTTTTTAGCTGGTTCTTTGCCACTAAAAGCTTAACCACGCGCTTTGTGGGTTGCACAGAGCTTTTTTTAGTGATCTAATCTCACAGCAGAAATAAACATGTTTGTCCCTCCTGTTCCTCGTGTTCGGGCCTTCCTGCAGTTCAGCGCGCGCYGTTGGAGCTGCTCGAAGCTCGGGGGTAGGGAGCACGTTGGGTGAGCGTCGAGGGACCTGGGGCATGCAAAATGAGCCGTTTTCTACCAGACATCCATCTCACAGAGGAGGAAGGAATAGATGCTCAAAGGAATGTGCAAATTAAGAACGAAAACTGGTCTCTAAAAGCCTCTTGAGTTCACCAACGTGCTTTGCTGGCCTCCTGTCAATGTTTTGTATTGATGAGCAGCAAGAGATGGTGCAAGGAAGGCCTGGTGTTGTGGGCGGTGGGGGACATGAGCTTTGAATACCAATTTAAATAACCTGCAATATGGAAGGGCTTGAGAATCACTGAGCTAGTATAAAAGAAGATTAAAGAAGGTCTTTTGGTCCTTATAACAATGTTTGAAAGGCTGTTTTCTTTCTCATTTAACATGCAGCAAGGACATATGGGAGAAGGCGAGGTAACAGTATTCCTATTTAATTTTCTAATGTTGACAATGTCTCATGGGAGAAATAACCTTAAGTTTTTACTAGAAAGCAAMCCCCCAAATTTAAGGTTAAAAAACATGAGCTTCGCATAAGTTTGTGTGGTCTGCATGCCATAAACATTTAAACTGAATTATATTGTAYTCTAGATATACTATTTATGCCAAAATTATCATAATCCTTTCAGTGGACATCATCTATGAATAGTTACCCTGGAGAGCTACATTGTGTGTATGTTACCAATGACAATACTGGGGAAGTTGATTCTCTAGTGACTTTTTCCAGCTAGTGATGGGTTTTCCTGATGCAGCATGGAGTATAGTGAATACTTGTCCTGGCCAACTAGGTTATCGAATGAGATCCTGCAAGGATGCACGTTGAATTCTGCCACACAAGCAGTAATGCTGATGAACCTGAGAAAAGATTTCTTTGTTTGGAGAATTGCTGCCTTCTAAAAATACTGCAGGACTGAGGTTTTAAGAGACCAAGAAAAAAAATTAATTCATTGGGAGGAAACAAAATCACCTTTAAGTCCATCTTGCAATATTTTCATTATGGTAGAAAGCCAGATTTATCAAATTACAGAAATAGGCTGGATTACAGGGGTTGATGGTTTTCAGAGTGCTCTTTTAATYAAAGGCATAAAAAGATTCTTGAAAGTTCAAATAAAGCAAGCTGATCAAGTCTTCATTTTGTATTCATCTAAATTATATGGGCTGTTGAGCTTTATTTATCTGTTAAATTTGTGAGCTCTTTGATTTCTCCATGGAAGATGAATAACAGAGCAGGATAAATTAACCTTACCAATACACTACTATATTAGATTGTAGTGGATTCTCAAAAGGGAGACTTAGTATATTGTGGCGTATAGTCATACATTTATGTATTCCTATTATACCCATTAAATGAGTAGAAGTCCGTTCAGTATATTGCCTATATATTGAATATTGTAACTAAAGGGTGAAGTTACTGAAGATACAGCTTGGTACGCTCTGTTATGATGTTATACAAAATAAGAATCTTATTTAAAAGTAAAAAAAAAAACTTATACGCTCTATAATAAAAGTTTAAAATAGGAGAACATTGGACTGGATAGGAGAAGCATGCTACAATATTTTGTCTTAATTTAATTTTTTTGTAACATCTAAGTAAACCTGGTCTTCCTGAGGAATGACACAGCATGGCCTTGTTTTCAGGCATTTTTTGCAGGCAATTACAGTGAATCTGGTTTGGTTCTTTTTAGGATTTTGTGTTATTATTACTATTATTATTATTATTTGCAAGTGCTTGGTTTATGAAGGGTTTTGGTGCCAGGGGAATCATACGTGTAATGTATTGAGCTGATAGAATTCTGTTTTCCCATCTGTACTGAGGAATTGTATTTACTCAGTTTAGGAAGTTGTTCACTGGGAAGTGATATTTGTGGCTTAGGAACGAGTAGTGTCTGCTATTGGGGAAGTCCCTGGAAATAATTGGGCTTATACTCTCTTCTGATTTACATCTTTTAAATGAAATCTATTTAGAAACATAAAATATTATGAAAAGTCATTTTGAGCATCCATTGGAAATACTATTTTGTTTCAAATTTTTGTTAGTTGTAGTTTAATTATGAAGAAGATAGTGACTTTTTCTCTTAATTTATTTGAGCARTTGAGTGGTACTGAAACCTCTAAGGTTTTATATGAAATAGCATAACTACTTATTAAAAGGGAAGATTGCTAACACAGCAGCCAGCGTGGGGTTTCTTTTTTCTTCTTTTTCATTTAAGCAATACTTTCTCCTATATATGTGTTTTGTTTTGTGTCTTTCCTTCTTTTATTTTTATAATTTTTTACCCTCCTTCAGGTCAGTCTTCACTGTTTCCAATGGAAGACGGGTTCTTGGATGATGGACGTGGGGATCAGACTCTTCACAGTGGTTTGGGATCACCTCACTGCTTCTCTCACCAGAATGGAGAAAGAGTGGAGCGGTATTCCCGGAAAGTCTTTGTGGGCGGCCTGCCACCTGATATCGATGAAGGTATTCCCAGAAAAATGTCCCCAGAATACCCCCCTGGCTTGGGGACAAAACTGCCGTGTGAAACCGTTTGTCTGTTGGCTAAGGCAGGGCTGTTTTCCAAACTCTGCAGAAGACCTTTGATATGTAAATAGATCTCTGTATGTCACCACTCAGTCCACGTCAGATGGGAGAGAATTTCAGCTGGTTTCAGCTGCAGTGGTGTTCTACCTTTGAAGAACAGAAAYGGTGTGTTCATCACACCTTTAACAATATAAAATTATTTTTAAAATGGTTTGTGATGGGAAAATAAATATCCCCTGTGGAAATTTGCAGGTATTTTAGAGCCTGTTTATAGGCAGCAGAAGGTTGTGGTAGGAGAAGTGTTGCTGATTTTTGTGAAGGTTGTATAGCCCTGCTAAGTCTTAGCTCTTGATTTAGATGCTAATGTGAAACTGCTCAGTGGTTGGTTTTGGCCGGTGATTATGTCCTATACTAACTTAACTTCTAACATACATGTGTTTTGAAGACTCAGGGGGAGGGGGAAAAAAAAATAAAAAAAAAAAAGCAGCTGTGCAGAGGCAGTTGCACATATTGAGGAACCAGGAATTTCTATGGGACGCATCCCACAGAGCACGCACAGGACAGAATACAGGARTCTTAGAATCATTTAGCATGTGCAATTGCCCTGAAGCTTCTTTTAGCAGAATTTGGTGTTTTGCTATATATGAGCTTGAAAGCACAGTAGTTAAAATATCTGTGAGAACTGTAAACCGGAAAAAGTGGTGGTTTATTGCTTTTTCTTAATTTTTTGTTATAATGCCACTGTTCACGTGAGGGGGAGTGCTAATACATGTCCTTGCATACAACTGTGACATGACAAGCTGACTTGCACACAAACACAAGAGCTGCTTGCATCATGGGTACCGTTGCTTATGCCCTTAGCATTTAAAAGATCAAAGATGATGTGGCATCTACAAGAAAATATATTTTATCCCGACTTTGTTATTTTAAAAGCAGCTGAGCACATGAATAGGCTGCTCTGTGTGGGCATTCGTTTTTGAAGCATGAGACCTTTGTGCAAGCTGTGCTCAGAGAGCAGCCTGCGTTTTCCAAAGCTGCCTCTGTCAGCGCTTCCTGTAAACTGCATGTGCCAACAAGGACAGCGCGATTTCACCTTTCCTACACAGCCAAATTTTGGGGGAATTTTTAAGTATGCTTGAACCATAAGCTTGTGCTTAGTGCAATTCTCAACAGAGATCTGTTTTAAGGATAGATCCGTGTTAAGCACTGTTCTGTGTGGTTGTGTCTTCATCAGCGTGTAACCTTGACAGGCAGGTGCTGTGGTGGATGTTCCTGCTGACCCGCAGTGCACCAAGAGCTGTCAGGGTAGCGCCTGTCAGTTGCTATTACCTTAGCAATGTGGGCCAAGAGGATAAACAGGCTGAACAGGACAGAGCTAGTAACACTCTGGCAGTTTTCTAGCAGAGTGTGAGGGCAGGAAACTCCCCTAAATTGTGAGCTSAGAACCCTCTGCAAAACACAGGTTTTTGTCCTGTCCCTCTGGATAGGACAGGCTGGAACACGTGTCAAGTGGCTTTTGATTTGGGCTGTTTGTCAGAGAGCTTTGAGCAGCCCCGAGTGGAGTTGTGGCTGTTCTTCAGACTGTATCAGAAAGGGATGAAAATCAAGGGATTTCTTAATTAAACATTTTTCTGAGAAACACAGTATGGCAAAGGGAAGGATGTTGAAACACTGTGGGGAAAGCAGTTGTGTTAAATATTGCTCCTGTGGAAAGCCCTCTAATACCTTAAGCAGAATGCTGCTGAGCAATGTGCCAGCTTCGATGACACTTCAGCAACAGGACATTTTATCTCCATTTCAATTTTTTAATTAACATTTCTTGTCCAGAGAATTTCTTTTTCCCTGCTGAGGGTTCAAGTGTGTTTGTGGAGAAGGGAAGGGAATAATCTTGCTCAAGAAGAGCAGAGTTGTAATTAGAAAGCTTTTATAGGATACGTTCTTTTCCAGAAATGTGATGTGAAAGACAAATTGGAATGAACGCGACAGTTGCTTCATGGTACAGTGACATGCTGCTTGCCATCTCACTTATAAGGYGTTTTAACTGTATTTTGCAAGCTTACACCAGGTTAGTCTGAGCTTAAGCTCAGATAAGATTTGCAGTTGTGTCATTAGCAAGCGATATGGACGGACGTGGCTGGCTACTGTGATAGTTCTTCATTTTTCTGCAGTCTCTTCACAGTTACAAGCCAGCCTGGCAGATCTGATGACTTACTAGCAAGTCAGCAAGTTGTCTGTAAACTCWTTGTGGGAAAGTGCCTGGAGGTAGATTATGGTAGCTGTATAGATTCACTGATTCCGTTTCTCTGAATTAGAGAGTTGTGAGCTTTTATTTATAACTATTGGTAGGAAGGAAATCTTAATCTTTCAACYGCCTTGTTTTGTAATGAATGTTCTGACTTGTCAGAAAGATTTGCCATCACTTACTAAGCATTCCTACAAACTATTCAGCTTTTAGAGTTGCTGAATGTTTGTGCATAGACTGGGAAGAAATTACCCAAGATCCATGATCTTCAGGTCTTASATGTCATACAGCTAACTCGTTCATGTTCCCATTTTCAATTAATGTTTTTTTTTGCCTTTCTATAGATGAGATCACTGCTAGTTTTCGCCGTTTTGGACCTCTGATTGTAGATTGGCCACACAAGGCAGAGAGCAAATCTTACTTTCCTCCTAAAGGTAAATTTGATAATTAATACTATATGAGTGCTTTTTAATTGTTATTTTTATATGTAAAGCTCCATTTTGGAAAAGATTTTTGTGTGTGGCCCTGTGTTTAGAGAAGAAAAAGTTGAATCCTTTAGRCGTTGTGCATTTCTGGACATAGTCTTGTAATTATTTTCCACTTCCTTAATTTCCTTTTTTTTTTTTTWMYTTTTTTTTTGTTTGTTTTTTCTGTTGTTTCTGTTTTTTGCTTTACTCATTTTTATACTAGTAAGTCAAGATCAGCCCTTTCTGAAGGGACTGAATGCCCTCCACAGAAGCCAAGAAGGGTTTGTACCTTGTATTCACAGCTTTACTTAGAGACATGCTCTGGCTCTTGTTCATTTAATACTCTTGGCTTATCCTTTGCCAAAGGAGATGGGGAGAGATTATGTTGGTTATGAATGTCCSTGCTTGGGGATTGTCAGTGCAGAGCACTTGCAGCAGACCAGGCTGTGAGTCCAAGAACAGTGTTAAGTTTGTCCTTTATTATACTGTAGTCTGATGAAATGGTGTCAGGCAAAATTCTGGGTTAAGTAATTGACTCTATCCTGTATGACAGTTAAAAAAGGAAATCATAAATTTGTTTTTCTATTTCTAGGATACGCGTTTTTGCTGTTCCAAGATGAAAGCTCTGTTCAGGCACTGATTGACGCATGTATTGAAGAAGATGGAAAACTGTATCTTTGTGTCTCCAGTCCCACTATCAAGGACAAACCGGTAGGTAAAATTTTGAGCAACTGTGTGGTCCCTCTAGGGTAATTAGAAATTGTGCTCTTCAGCTGCCCTTTTTTCTTTTTTTTTTTTTTCTTTTCTGTCTTTAGAGCATTAATGTCTATACTTATTTAAATCATCAAGTTCTCAAAGAGATGATGAGGGTAGATGAGTATTTCTAATCTCTGAAATTAATTCTCAATAATGTACATTACATAGAAACAAAAAAAAATTTAGTCTAGTTTCAGTTCAAAAAATTCCTGTTTTTCTATTCTAATTCCTATTTTTGTTGACGTAATATGAATGCAAGCCAACATTTAATACTTACTGAATTTGATTCAGTGAATATGATTCAAAGAATTCATGCTGTATATAGTGCTGTCTGGAACAATTTAAACTGAAAAAAAAGCATAACACGGCAATAAATTGTACCTTACTAGTACATATGWTCTGGGGCACAGAAACAAGTCAGTTATTAATTGGAGAGATGTATGTTGTATTTCTGTACTTGAAATTTGGCCAGCTGTAGGCAAAATAACTAGTCCTGTGTAGTAAATAAACACACGACCTTGCACATTGGAGCCTGTTCCATTGAGATAACACTAGTCTAGTGCTTGCACTTGGCAAGCACAACATAAATAGTATGCCTACATATACATTAACATAGTGCATGCACCACAATTCAGTCACAGTGAAGTAAATGTTACCTGAGTTTGTGGGGAGAAAAAAGGCACTTACACAATTGGTGCAACTTGGTTATGATCAAGAGGTCTGTCTCTAATAGACATTAGTAGGCCTTTCATCTTKGGAAGTGATTGCTGAACCAGTAGAAAATGAGTTTAAAAATACATTTTTTAAAGAGATTTTATGCTTTGTAGGCATCTGTTAATTTCTGTTACTGAAATATTTGCTGGATTGTGAATGGTTTAAAAAAAAAAAGGCTTTTTGTCCATAGGTTCAGATCCGGCCTTGGAACCTTAGTGATAGTGATTTTGTTATGGATGGTTCACAGCCTCTTGACCCACGAAAAACCATTTTTGTTGGTGGTGTTCCTCGGCCTTTACGAGCAGGTACACTGTGTGTTCTGCAGCATTGGGCATGTTGAATATGTTGTCTGATTGGGGGAGCAAGGGGGGAGACAAAATTATTTCAGCAAGGGAAGCATTTAGTGCTCTTGACACTTAAAGCGGGCGACGTGRCTACAAATGAACTGTCATATTTGGTGCTTCTAGGAAAAGAGAAGAAAATACTAAATGGACACTGCTGTTTTCCTTYCCTTTCTGGTTTAGTGGAACTTGCAATGATAATGGATCGCCTGTACGGAGGGGTGTGCTATGCTGGAATTGACACAGACCCTGAGCTGAAATACCCAAAAGGAGCTGGGCGGGTTGCATTTTCTAATCAACAGAGTTACATAGCTGCTATCAGCGCTCGCTTTGTTCAGCTGCAGCATGGAGAGATAGATAAACGGGTAAGGTCCTCAAGCACATTCTATTTTTGCTTTGTGCCTTCCCTAGAAATGGTTTTCTGTGTAAATGTAAGTGCGTCACTGTGAAGACTGTAACTGTTAGATCAGATTCATTGCATATTTAAGGCTAGATTGTGCCACTTAGATACAACACCGAATAAAAATGAAGGAGTGGTGCAGAGCTCTCGCTTTGGGAACGTGGGTGCCAGCTGCGAAGCAGACTTTCTTGAATATCCTGACATAATGGGAAGCAGTTCAGCTGCCTTGCCCTTCTGTAAGAACATGGCACATGTATTGCACTCCCAGTGCAAGTGTTTGCCTTTGTAGTATTTGTAGAAGGGCATGGAATAAGGGAGCTTCCAAGGATGGAGCAGTTCCTGCTGCTATTCTACTCTCTGAGAGAGTAGCCAGAATCTGGCCCAATTGTTGTATGTGGTGGCTGGTTCTCAGGAGCATCATGGCAATGCACAGTCATCCTTGGGTCATCCTCCATGGCTTACTTCAAGGCTACACACAGTTCACTTCTTAAATGACAATTTATTAGAATTATTTGCAGCTTATTCATGAATTAATATAAATGAAAGGAGTACACCAAATAGATTTGGAGCTTGCTTTATCCACACTCGGCTATAAAATGTGACTGACCTATTCTGGTTATCTTAGGGTCGCAATTCTGAGAAACTCAGATCGCTTCATACACTGTTCTTTCYAGTTCCTTTTTTGCCTCAAAATTTTCAGGACTCTGGATTATGTGACTGCCATTATTGATTTTTAATTCCCTAATTACTGGAGGGGGCAAGTCCCCAAGCTTTTACTCTTAAACTTCAGTCAGTCATCGTTAAATGGCTGATTAGCTGATTATCATTTCACTGCTGCTTGGCTATTAAAGCTGAGGAAGAAGAATCGGAACAACAGTTCGACTGTGGGCCTGGGAATTGGAATGTCTTTGTTCTAATCTTGGCTCAGAAATAAATTCTGTATGGCTTTGAACAAATAATTTGTCCCCTCACCCCCCCCCCCCCTTGTGCAACTTCTGCTTGCATAAGCAGACACTTGGGTGAATAGCTCTATTGAAGCTGGTAGGAGTGCAGATTTTAAGTAAGTACTTGTGAACTCTAGCAAAGATTTTGCAATCTGTTTCCCCTTCCTTTTCTCCTCCTGCTCTTCCTTATTTCCCCATTTTGTATAGGGTTCAGAAGACGTGTGGGGAGATAAACACCCAGAGGATTTGTTAGAACAAATGTTTTGGATGTGTGAGAGAGAAAAAATGGAAGAACAACAATCTACTTTTTATTATTAAGATACTAATTATCTTTTTTAAATTATTTTGTATAATTTTACAATTTTACAAATTGTAAAATTGTATTTTTTTACAAAAAAATTGTAAATTTTTTTTACATTTTTTTTTGTAAATTTTTTTAAATTATTTTGTATAATAATGATTTTGATTATTTTGTATAATAATGATTTAATACATGCATAAAAATAAGCAGCAAAGAAGGATTTCCTGTAAAATTAGGCAAGGGTTAAAGCGTGTGCCCTTCAATGAGGTAATACAAGTTAAGTGCTCAGTGGCCTGCAACACCCAGCACTGTAGAGGTTCTGCTGGGAGCTGCCACCCTTAACAGCATCTGATGAAACTGCTGTAATTTAAGCTACTTTACAGCACGCATTTGGGAAACCTCATTATGTGTAGCACAAGTTGCAGGTCCTATTTGCAGGTAGTGTTTTGAAAAGGTCCTATTTGGCATATGTGCTTCAGCACGCAATAAATGTGCTGAAGACTCCAGTACCTGTGGCTTGCTGACTTGCACAAAAGCCGTTGCTCCAGTCGCAGGCCGAGGCAGGCAGAGAGGTAATTATTTGTGCTGCACTTGGGTTTTTAGGTTGCAGCCAGGAGCAGCCTCTGAGTATGTCTGGGAAGGCTGGTACTAGAGGAGGATTCCTGCCATGTGCAGGAGGCCTGCAGAGCACACCTGTGGGTTCTGCTCCTTGCTGCTTACGGAAGAAGACACTTAACACTGAGCACTTGCCTAAGACGAGTTAGACAAACAGGGTGTTGAAGGGTTATGAATATGTGTTTGCCTCTGCTGTTTCACACATTTATTGTTCTGGGTTAGGGTGGAGGGGTTTGAGAAACAGAATACCGCACAACAGGGATGTTGAGGGGAAAAGCAAGGATGCTACTTTGCTTTGAGCAGTTTATTTGTACTGTWAGCACAAATGGAATCACTTACTGCAGTGACCTGTCTTGAGCTTGGTAAAACTGGGTAAGTTTTAAAACACAAGAATTTTGAGTGTCCTTGTTYGGATTAGCTGGCAGACTGCTCCGAGATCTGGAAGACCATCACTGTGCCAGATGCAGAAACAGAAGGATAACATTCAAGACAGTGCTCTTAATGTGGGCAATTGGAAATGTTTATGGAAAAAAAAATGATTTAACAAGCTCTAGAGAAGGCTCACGAGCACTTCTAGAATAGGAACTTACAGTGTAGCTATACTTCTGAACTTGAGGCTTTGTTGGACTAAGTTGCCCTTGCTAAGCAGTCCATGCATCAACCTTGAGCAATCCTTAAAAGCAGAGGAGTGGGAGTGAAGGGGATCTTTAGGTGTGAGGTGAAACAGAGCCCTGAGGGGGTGACASTGCTGCAGTTGTGATTCGGACGTGTCTGCACGAGCAGCTCGGGCACCAGAGAGGCGAGCGCTGCAGAGGAGGCGCCCTGGAGTGCTGAGACCAGGGCTTTGCAGTGGGCTTGGTTTTGGCATGGAAATGCAGGGATTAAAAGCCTGCAGATGTTGTAGTGTGGCTGTATCCTTGGAGCACCAGCTGGTAAGTTCCTGTGAGCTATTAACAGTTAARAACTTGAAGAAAATTTTCCTCTCTGTTCTTGTGCTGAATTGCTGCTCATCATCTTGTCCTTAATGCCAGCTGTGTAGGTTGGCGTTTTAAGCTTCACATTTGATACCAGCAGGATTAACTAGTTCTCGTTTTGCTGAGTGGGGTAAGCCACAGTAAAAGGAAACAGAAATGTACTATTTATTAATGATATGATGTGAAATGAATTTTTTTAAGCCAAAAATTCAGGCATTGAAATTTGCAGACTGTGTGCAAGTTTAATTTGCAGTTACAGTGTTGTGCAAGCATTTTGCATTCCTACCTGAAAGGGAAGGAACTTATAATTATGTATCATCATCCTTCTAAAATTCCCAGAATTCTCCAAGTTTTTGATAAGCATCCAGGCACAGAAATTGGATATAATGTGGAATATTCATTGCCTACTGTATTATTAAGAATTGCCAACTTTCYTCTTGTTTCCTGCATACAGGTGGAAGTTAAGCCATATGTCTTGGATGATCAGCTTTGCGATGAATGTCAGGGGGCCCGTTGTGGTGGAAAGTTTGCTCCATTTTTCTGTGCTAACGTTACCTGTCTGCAGTATTACTGTGAATATTGCTGGGCTGCTATCCATTCACGCGCTGGCAGGGAATTCCACAAACCCCTGGTGAAGGAGGGAGGAGATCGCCCAAGACATATTTCATTCCGCTGGAACTAAGTGATCACTGCAGTGCTCAGATGCAGGCCTCAAATTAAGTGCACTCTTCTGTTATCCTGATTGTCCCTACCCCACCTGACCCTTTCTCTTATTCAAGATAGCATGTCCTTTTGTAGTAGTCTGTAATTTAACAATAGTATAATGGAAGAATGACCTATCATATGGGTATTTTGTAGAATCTTGTCATTGAAAACTGTATTGGGAACTCCTTTTCGTATTGATCACATGTTGCGAGCAAGTTGCATTCTCTTGCCTTTGCTATCAAGAGAACACTTAATTTCATGCAACATTTTCTTAGAGGAGAGAAAAATATTAAGAGAATTGAAACAATAGAGTATTTTGGTTTTTTAATTAAATTATTGCTAATAAAGAACATAAGAATACTTTTATTAAAATAACCATGTAACAATAACACTATCAGTCTGTTCTGACACTTTCCCCCAGGGAAGCCTGTTTTTTGCCTCTCTTTTTGTTTTGATTTTTTCAGTTTTTCCAGCAACAGATGAAGTTAGCATTTAGCTACCAACAGGAAAGAGCATGTTTAAAGCAACAAAAATGCATGAGCAAAGTTCAAGCAGCATTTATAGTAGTGATGTTTTAATCTCGCTAAGGGCTTTGAGGCCGAATTTTAGCTCGGCATGCGTCTGACCATGCCTCTGACGACCACCCACATCCAAATTACTAATGAGATAGGCAGAGCTTACTGTATTTTCATCAGAATTACTACATTTTAAGAATTTCTGAATGTAAAAGTTGAGTAAAGTTACTACTGAGGGGGGGAGTGCACTTTCTTTCTTTCTTTAAGAGAATTCAGTTGTCTGGTTACAGCCCTAGAAATTCTACCAAAGCTAGAAACATGACAACTAGTTAACTGGCATTTCCTCTCTTGAAGGATGAATATATAGATTTTATTTTTGATGGCTATATATAACTCTATATCCTAATTACTAACGTTCTTCAGGGGCCAGCCTTTGCTCTCCATTTTGACGTGAAAAAAGTAGAAAACCTAAAGATACCTCAAGGATATCACTGATTTTTTTATTGAAGTTTCGATATTCCAAACTAAAATTGGCTGCTCGTTAGATTCCCATCCTGGATGTAAAGTTAGTTTTGACTRTCCTCTAGCTTAGTTGTAACAGAAGGCATATATCTAAGTATTTTCCCAGTTTTGCTTTGCACTGTCCCCCGAGTTTTGTGTGAAATAGTGCAAACATGCGTATGCCTTTCTTAACTCTTCCTGTAGAAAAATTTCCCAACTAAAATTCCTCCTCTTCAGAACTTAATATGGGAAAATAAGGAAACACAGGTATGTGAAGTGCCAACATTGCTAAGTTAATGCCTGCTTTATTATAGCTAAGTTCTACCTTGAGAAGCATTAACACAGTACATGTTAATCGAACGATGACGAGTGGGTGCAGCRGTTTAGCTTGAAATAGTTGAATGAAGGAGTAGTTCTGAAAACTATTTTTATTGCTTTTAAACTATTGCCCTGGCCAACTTCTACCGTGATTTTTAGCAGTGTACAAACAAGCAAACTCAGTGGCAATCTTCTAAGCTGCCGGCCTGGCGTGGTACCATCGTGGATGCTCTCGGACCAAAGACTTGCCTCAGCACTGCTTGGATAACTTCTGCTCCATAAAATTGCCTTTGCTGGCCCCCCTCATCCCATTCCCCYCACCCCCAAATTATCTTTATGAGAAGCAGTTTTTATTTTCAATACAGGCTTTAATGAACTTATACCTTATCAAGTTCCAAAGGTCAAAATGGAGACATTTGCTGTCTACTAGTCAAGTATAGAAAGGGAGCTGCTTTTAATGAAATCCCTGAAAATATTGACAACAGTAATGCAAATGCAGAGTGCTCTTGTGTAGATTGTCAGGGACTTTTTTTTCTCTGAAGTACATAATTATAGTTGGAATGTTCCTTTAATTTTTTTAATGCTTGTAGTTGGCTTGGGGTGTGCTATTGTGCCGATCCTACCCAGTTAACAGGTGAGATGGGTTACCATTACAAGAAATAACACTGTTTGAGAACTAGCTTTGAATAATAATTTTCCCTTTGTACATGACCTGCTGAATTTCGGTACAGTGTTTTTGTAGCTAACTTATTTTGTCATGCACATAATGTATATTTGTTATGCACTACTTTTGTATATCTTGTTTTTCCAACAGTGAGCATTTTTAGGCACACTTTTCACTGACGGGATATCTCTTTATGCAATACCTCAATTTTTCATATTGCAAAGAGTAGCTTTTTGTACTTTTATTACTGAGAGATCTTCATATACTTCATTTTTTAATATAAATAATTTTAATAAATTTTATTTTCTTATATTCTGCTTTTTATACATTTCAGTGCTCTGCATACATTTTGAATTATGGATGTTGTGCACTGGCAATGCTATTTTAGAATCTGCAGAGAAAAGAAAGCATGTTGCTTAAACATCTTAGCCCAGCACCAGGTATTTGGTGTACATATAATTTAAGAAATAGTATATGTAAAGTTGAGAATTAAAGAAGAAAAGCATGAAAGTGACAAATGACACTGTCTTTAGACCCTGAAATTTAAATGCATAAATATAGTGTAGAAATTTAAAAGTAAAGAACCATCAAAATTGTCTACCGCTTCTTACTAAGTTTTTAAAAATTATACACAAATGCAGACGTTTTTGGTGAATGTTTAGCCATTTTTAATATTAATAACAAATTGATGTTAGGTGTTTGATGCAGAAATGTGTCTGCTCTTTTAAATTATATTTAAAGAATAAAAGAGAGCCTGCTAGGTGGCAGGCATGTAATGTTAGTATGCATGACTAATGTAAGAAATTGTTATTCTACTAATACTCACTTGTGATTGTGTGACAAGCGTGTTTACAGATTATTTGGTTACACTTCGATTTACAGGGCATAAACAATTATATACATTACTCTGTACTTAAATAGTGATTACATGTCCTTCTGGTTACATGGGATTTGTAGGTGGAGTGACCAGGTCACTCCAAATACAATTAACGTGTAATTAGTTTACGAGTCTTAGGGTATCACTTCGATTTGCAAAGGGGTTAACGAGCATGTAGTTTTATCACACTAGCATGGCACTGGCCATGTATTTACAATGTAGTTACAGAGTAATTACATGGTTATTTTTGCAATGTAAAATAAAGTGTTTCTGATTATTTTATATGTAAAGGAACCCCACTGCCCCGTGCTTTTTGGTATAGTATATACTTCTCCATACACAGACCTCTGCAGAATGCAAATTTAAAACTTGCAGTGAATGAATTTAGCGTTTTATAAGGATGCTGTTGGAAAGACTTGATAATTCACCCCTTTTGTTTTTGAAGAGTTGAAACCTTCTGTTAAAAGGTGATTTAAAACTTGAATGTGATGAATTGTGGCAAGTTAACTTCAAGTTATGTGCAATACCTATTTCAGACTTCTGGAAGATCTTTGCAGTGTAATTCTTTGTTTTTAATTGCAGACATTTAAAAATGTCATTTTCTACTGTTCTAGTAAATCCTCTTTCTTGCTGGTGTTTCTAAAGAAAAGAATCAGAAATCAATCTTTCTACTAATGTAAATTTGAGATTATTTTTAAAAAAAATGGAATAAAAGGTTTTGGTCATTTGCTTTATTTTATTATCTTATTTTAAAGCTACTGTGATAGCATTGTAAGAATTGGGACAATATTGTATTCAACTGTTTTATTTTTTATATTTTTAAATTTTAAAGTATAATTAGTTTTTATAATTTTCATCAGATTTTTTGTTATATTTTTTGGAAGTGAAACTTTTAGCAAGTGGGTGTCTAGTTTTTACTAATCCCTAATATGTTTTTCCCCCAATGTATTGCTCATATTATCAGAAGGAAAAGTTATTTAAGTATGTCAGTTAATTGTACTACTTGGCTGAATTTCCATATAGTTTTTACTGTGTATGGGGAGGTTGTAGTATTTATTATAGCATTTTAAATAAGGGTAATTCATTTTTTATTAAAGTCATTTTCACGTTTTAAGTTCATATTTTTGTATGTTCTACTCTAAGTTATATAACACAAGTTACTTTTTTTAAAGAGTTCATTTGTTGAAGTGCTAGTGAAAAATTAATGTTATTAAATAGTTTGCAAATGACTATTTATACCAGTATGCATATAATTTTTAAATATTTGTAATGTGAGATGTTGAATGAATAAAACTTTTAACTCAGTTTTTCTTCTTAACCGTTTTATTTTAAGCTTCCCTTAGGAAGACGCTGCTTCGTGGCTGAGGCGCGTGGGGCTTGGGAGCGGTTTTGGTGAAGAGTAGAGCACACGGGTGACTAAGTGCCTTGGGCCAAGGTCTGCACTTCTGGGCAAAATTCGTATGAATTTGGAGCGTGGTTTTTCCAGGGGGTGTGTGAGGGGAGCACTAACCACATGGGAGATGCTGGTACCCTGATCACTGCGTTATATTGGTGYGAGGTAAATGTGCAGAAGTGGAAAGGAGGGGGTTTCTCCAGGACTGCAGARCTGCAGCCTGGTTCAGGGCAAAGGAAGCAGCATCTTTGCTACTGCTGTCCTGATGCTGTCTTTGGGGGATGTTGGGTGCTGAGTACTTAATTTTGTGAATTTGCCACTGGTTGAGTATTGTCTAGAAATCTCATCTCGCTTTGGAAACACCCTTCAGGTTCGGCATTGTTTTGAAACAGCCTTAAAATATGTCCGCTTAGGCCAAAGAACTGTAGCTGAAGTGTTTGATCATTCTGCTTTGTGTTCTCTGCTGCTCAGTAAAAGGGACAAAGAAAGCAGCAAACAGCCGAGAAATGAAGCTTAGCTGGGCAACTGGCATGTTCAGTGCGGGGAATACCATGGAGGTAGGTAAAATACTGCACACGAGYCAGAAACCTCTGCCAGCCCCAAAGGAGACTGGTTGTGGCCTGGATGTGGCCAAGCAGGGCATGGATGAACAAGGGATCTTATTACATGTGCTGCAGTTGTCATGTGAGATTCAAAGTCTGACTTTTCCCATCTAAAGATTGCAGAAATACTCTGTGTTTAATAGATTACATCTCATTTCACAGGCAGAGCTTTTAAAAATGCAGCTCAGTAAGGTGAAATGCCCATGGTCTGGAGTGGTCAAAAATAATAGTTACTCTCAGTGATGACGGCTTTGCCTGCATCTGGCTTGCTGACAAGAAGCTTTCCGGGAAAAAATGCTATATCAGATCCCTTCTGGATTTCAGTTTGTCCTGAAACTACAAACACRCTACAGGCGGACTGCAGAAGCTGGTGCGTATCCCTGGTGGGTAAAACTGGAGAATCTCAACCGTGAACATTCAGTACAAGCTGCTTGTTGAGCACCTGATTAGCCACCAGCTTTCTCCTGGGTGCCACTTTCAGTAAATGAACTGCTACGTTTCACATGAGTGAAAAAAACTTGGGTGGAAATGGATAAAATCTGGTTATGGGTGGATATCTATAGTGATAGATAAATCTATAYAGATTTAAAGGCAAAGGTGTATTTTAAATAAGGTCCCTTAGCTGTTTGGCTATTGCTGGGCAGTTTCTACTGTTGCTCCTGGATCTATGGCTGCTGTTTGTTCAGTGCTGTGAAAGGTGCCCCAGCCGTGGTCGTGAATGTGCCCTGCTTGCCTACAGGAAATCTAAGACAAATAACAGCCTCAGAAAGGATGGATGAGGGAGAAACACTGACGTCTGTTCCTCTGTGTGAAATAAGCTGATTCAGTCTGTCAGCATGAAAAACAGCCTCTGGGRTAAGAATATGCTTGAAGCTGTCTTTTCAGCTCTAGGAGTTGAGCACAGGGGGAAATGAGCTGGTGCTCTCAGTATGTTTCTGAACTCCTCATTTGATGGGAGGAGGGGATTTCTGAAACTTGATGCTCTGCTTAATTCTATCAGATAGCAGCCATTTTCCTGATACCCAAACTAAAATCAGACTTTTTGTAAGACTACTTTTGGGAAGGCTTTTGATCTCTAACTTTTGCYTTATCTGAAGGTATCTAAGATCACAGAAATACACAAGGTCTGTTTTTGATTTTGTCTTCTGAGATTAAGCTGAGTTTAAACTCTCTAAACACGAAGTAGGTAAAGGGTTGCTGGCGGAACACATTGTTGATTTTGCATTTAGGGTTTGACTAAACTGAGTTTTAGCTATGTGGCATTTTTCAATTCTAAAGCTATATGATAGAGTGAGTTGGTCTGTTTTTTTATGAGAATAGAGAACACTGGTTTTATTTAAGTGATGGATCAATAGCGTGGATGCATTTGGCATGAGCTGCGTGCTGCACTAACACAGTGTTGTAATCTGTGCAGGGTATCAATTCACATGCCGAACAATGCATTAAAAAAAAAATGCTTGATGTCTCTGCTGACCCTCGCAGCCCAACCCAGTGCTTGAGAAAATATTTGCCCAGTCTAACTCACTGCTGCTGACTCATGAACAGGGAGCAGTTTGCTCGGGGATGGTTTATGCCTTGCTATGGATGTGAAAGGTCATTTGAGAAATGTGCCTGTTTTCAAGACTGCGTGTTGCTCTAAGCATGTGCTCGGCACTGGTTTGGGTACAGGGCACATTCATAACAAGTGTTTCTGAATTTTCTTTCAGTGAGTTAAATGTGACTTAGATTTCTGAGGAACATTCTCCATATAAGCAGCCTGGAATAGCCCCCAGCTTGGCTTCGGCAGGCCAGCTGTTTCCAGGCAGATGCTGCTCTGTACACACTGCCAGGATTGACTCAGTTCTTCAGTCAGCAGCAAGAAGATTTGCTCAGGGCTTGCTTTTTTTTCAGGGAAATGTCTTTGGAGGAAGTCAGTAATAGAACAAAGCAGTGACTGCTTTAATTTTCTTTGCAGAACTAGCAATCCTTTGAGACAGAAGCCCTACTCTTTCTTTTTGGCAGCAGCCTTATGTCTTTGGGACTGGAAGGGAGGGAATGTCCAGGATTTGGAATGGTTCTGCAAAGACCTCTAAGACTATTGCAAAGTGGATCTACTGCTGAGGAATATGTTCAGTAATGCCAGTACTGCAGTTAAATAAAACTGTATGAAGTATTTGGACAGATGGACTGAGGATTGCATTAGACTGCAGGCACACTTTGGACTGAGATTGTTATGTTAAGTTTCAGCAGCTAAGAAAACATGAACTTTCTATGTTTGGACAGGCAGTCCTGGAGGGTCCAGGTTGCTGAATCTGATGATGTAGTGGTTTTGCTTTTTATATCCTGTACTGAACGGCTGTTCTTCCAGGATGTTGGAGAATGGTATCTGGAGGTTTATCTCAGGCAGGAGTAAATTTTTTTGTGCTCACCAAGGGCCTTACTACATGTTCCCCAGAATAACAATAGGAACAGGTAGTTTTGTGGTCCCTGTAGCCCAACGTTTGGAAGAGTGAAGGTGAAATTTTGGTCCCTTTAATTTGGAAACAATTGTGTCATCATTAATGCCAATAACTTGAACACATACAACGGAAAACAGACTCGGAGGAACGGTAGTCCTAGCCTGCCTTGTGCCACATCTGCTGACTGTAAATCTGTCCCCAAATAAGACTGTTTAACTCTGYTGTTCAGTTTCAGTGATTTTGCCTTTTTGAGTTCTCTTATAGTTTTATTTCAGATTGGGATTCTTATTTAAAAACTTCTAACACAAAGTTTTTCTAAGCCAAGGGTTGCAGTCTTGCTGATCACGGTTTTGACTGTGGTCTGTGAATCTTCTGCCTAATTTGAAAATCCGTCAAGGAAAGAGTCAGACTTTCATGTAACAAACTCCATAATCTGCTAACTAAATTTATGTGCAACATGGATAAATGGGAGAATATGCTTCTTAAGAGTGGTGTGAATGAAGTGATTCCCACAGGTATGATTTATAGAGCCATCAGAGCTATGCAGGTTCATGGATATGAAATGCAGGTGTGTTAATATAGCTGGCCACTTTATCTCTGCTGCACTGTGTTGTGGCTTGCTTTAACTGTGAAACCTATTGTAAATTAAGAAATTTAAAAGTAAGCAAAAACTGAAGGYATAATGCATTGCTTCAATTTACTAGAAAGTGGGGAGTTTTGTCTTTGTAATTATTCCTTGTTATACTAATAAATGCTCTCCCGTGTATTTTGTAAAGTAACCACAGTCTAATAAGAGCACCTCATTCAAGTTGTGTGTGAAAGTGAGAGAGATACAGTAATTATCTGCACTGTTGCAGCAGGGGTAATTAACAAGGTTTGTCTGCAGCCGTCGTTCTCAGAACTAGCATAGTTTCCACAAGAAAACTTGCTAACAATGTTAAGGATTCCTATTTCAGATTGATTCATGCTTTCAAGATGGCAAAGTGATCAGGACAAAGTAATATTTCATAAGCACTCCAGCTTGCCAGCAGTATGTTGAATCGTGTAAGTATTCTGTGCAAGTCCACTGCAAAGAGGCCTCCCAGAGAAGCGACAAATCTCGAGCAGCAGAATGAGATTCCTTTCTGCAGGGATGAGATAAATCACTGCCTGTGCAGGCGGTAACGACCCCTTGGCTCTTCCCTTCTTTCTCCATCACGTAAGCTTAGCCGTGCCAACCCCACAACCTATGGTATTTTAAAACAATAATCAAGGTTAACAGGGGGAGACAAGGCGTCCTGAACAATGGGATCTGGGAAACAATGCGAGCTCCAAGTTGGAGAGCTGACATTTGAATTCCAAACAAATGGCATGATGAGCTGCAGACTGAAAGCTAGAATCTGATCTATTTTTAACCAAGCAGTTGAGAAAGTGGTGAAGCCGAGATGTTTTTRAACCAACAAATAACACCTAAATATCACTGGAGGTAGGGACTAGCTGATAGAGGCAATTTACGTGTGTGGAAAGGAGGATGGGGATCAGTGTGCAACCAGAATAGCTGAGTTTTCCCATTCTGCAGGACATTTGTAGATTTTAGATGGCATCRATTTTTGCCAGCAATAATAGATGGGATCTGAGCTGAATTTGAAATCAGAACTGCGGCAATCTGTTGTTGAGGGAAAAGCTGTCACACAAGGGATATTTATTTGCATCAGCAGAGTGGAAGAAGATTCCATGAAACACAGATGTTGGGAAATCCTCTCATTTGGGAGACCCTTAAAACTGTCGTCTATGAAGATGCACTGAATGGAGGTAAGAAGGAAAGCTGCCTGTCAGCTAACAGGACGTGCTTCTGGTTAGGAGCATGCAGGCAAATGCTCATACAAAGCATTAAGGAAGTTGTGTAAAGAAAAAGGCTGCTATTTAGGTTTGTGTGGGGGGAGATTTGAGACCCCTGTATTTTCAGTATCAGGAGCAAAGCGCTTTCTTTCCCAGAGCTTTGTGATTAACGGATGTGACAAAGCTGGCACTCCAGGATCGTTTTTTAATGAAGCTRTTCTCACTTCTCTCTCTGTGTAATGCCCCCAAATTGAACTCGTAGGTTACCTCACTAGACCAATTTGTTAGCTCGGGTTTTTGCAGGGGACAGTGGGCATCTCTGGGGTTTGGATATAAAAGTAGCTGAAAAATTTAGCCAAAAATCCTGGGATACCTTTCAGAAGAGGAATTTTTATTATTATTTAAGGGGAGGACTTGCTTTTCTTCTTTCTAACCTTTAGTTTTAAAATTATTTTTCCCCTTTTTTCCCCCTCCGTGACTCTGCCAGGCTCCTTTGCAGGAGGTAAGGCTGCCATCTGGTGGGTGCTGCATCTTTTATGCAATTTGTATTCTGTTGCAGAGGATTAAAGGGAAAAAAAAGGCATTTTGGTGGAATTTACTCTCATTTAGAGCACTTTCATTCCTGCGAGAGCTTTTATGGCCTGAAGCTCTSAGAAATAATATTGAGCCGTATTTCAATGTCAAAGTAAAAATCAGTGCAACCTGGGGTCTTAAGAGACTTGCCACAGGTCATGCCAAATGATACCATGTGGTGGTGGAAGCACCTTCTCTGCMGAGGTGCAAGGCAGGAATTTGGAATTTGCAGCTTCTCAGGATCGGCTACCAGCCTTTATACCCGCTGCAAAGTGACCCTACATGTTAAGATTGATGTTATTTAAACAGGGTTCATGGCGTAGTGGGACTGCCCTGCCTGTGTAGCGTCAGGAGCCTGTCTGATGGTTTGCTGTGAAAATGTGCAGTATCAGAGCAGATGCTGTRGACTCGCCCGCAGCAAAGGGCCAGCGCTGGCTCTTGCCCTGGGCATGTCCGCAGGGATGTGGGAAGACGTCACTGCCTTCAGCCTGGGGTCTCATCTATCCCTATATCAATGATATACATCAAAGACGTCAATACGTGGCTCTGGGCTRAAGGCAGCACGCTCTGTGCTAAGCTCTAATTAATGCTGGCCGAGCGCARCCCTGTGTGAGAGGGTGGACGCTCAGCCTGGCCGTTTGCTTTTAGGCGGAGGAGTGAATTATAACGTGCTTGTAGCGGGGTCGCCAACCAGAGCCCTCACACCGTGAAGACCCTGGAGGAGTTTTGTGGGGAGCCATTTGCGGGTGCAAAGCGGCTGCTACCCTGTGTGCTGCCGGTCACTGCTTTCTTCCCCACTCTCTCCGCTGAGATGGGGCGAGCAAAGGGGGCAGGAAGGGACCCCACAGGCCCCAATGGCGCCCGTTGCCGCTCAGTCTCCCGCCATCCCTCCGGCCTCTCCTCACAGCGCCGCCATAGCCCCGCCGTGCCCAAAATGGAGCCTGGCTCGGGCCTTGGCTGGCCCCGCTTGCCCTTCGTTTACGTCAACAGCTTTGGCACCCACCGCTGTGGCACCGTCATCCGCTACGGCTGGAACCCCGGCGCCCGCAGGCCGGGGAGCGAGGGCAGCCCATGGACGGGCGCGTCGAGCCTGAGCGGCGACGAGAGGTGCCTCAGCCCTGTGATGGAGCTWCCCTCCCCGGCGGGCATGGCCCAGCGCCGGTCGCGGGCGGCAAGGAGCCATGGCAGCCCCCAGCCTGTTGACCAGCACCACGGTGAGGAGCCTACGTAGGAGGGCTCGTGTGCCCTCCTGGCATGGGGAACTCGAGCTGAGCTCGAGCCCCAGGTCCCTCCTTGTCCTGGCACCCGCCATTTTCTTGTGGGACATCATGCTGTCCGTGCCACCCATCGGCAGGATTTCCAAAAAAAATTTCTTGGAGAGGGGAGGTGGAAAAATCATTATTTTTGCCCCAGGCTGTCCTGCTGCTGTGCTGTGGTGTCTCCATGCTCTCAGGCAAGGCTGCTCCAGACTACTGAGCCTTCCCAGTGCAATCATGTAAACAGTAAGGCCAAAAACAAAAAAGTCCTTCAGAGCAGCCCTTTTTCTCACTGAACATCTGAATCCTTTCTGCCTTTCCTCACTGCATTCTCACTGAGCAGGGGGTACCCATGTGCTTTCTGCTTCCTCGTTGTGAGAGCCTGAATGTGTTTCTTAATTATCTTTCATTGTGGCTAGGACTAAACAAAGTTGAGATGGGCTTGGGTGTGGGTTTTTTTTTTTTTTTAAGCCAAAAAAAAGATTAGGCAGCTTTCCACTGGTTATAGTCTGTTATGAAACACAATTTCACTGCATGGGATGAAAGGGGGGTAGAAACAAGGAATGTGACCTGGCTGCTGGGGAAGATGAAGAGTCTGCCAGCCAGAAGTGCTGGGAAGGGTCAGACTGATCTTCACCAATTTGCTGATCTTCAGATACTATGATTCTCTTGTATAGTTTTCTCCTGTTGCAAAAGCAGGTTTTGGAGGGATGATGGAGTAAAGTGCTACATGAATTTGTCATTAGAAGCCCCAGGTCTGCTGATTTGCTATTAGCAAATAGCAAATTTGTGATGATTTGTGATAGCAAATAGCAAATAAGTGATGCCTGCGGTGGGCAGTGGCTCGAGCGGTTGCTCTCGGGACGTGGCCACCTTGCACGGTGGCCATGGGGTGGCCTGGAGGACACTGCTTTCCCTGCAGCCGCGCCGTGAGAGGAAGACAGCCCGAGAGTTTTGCCTTTCCTTGCTTCTGCTTTTTTGTGCTACCAGAGGCAATTCAGCTGATCTCTCATCTCAGCCCAGTCACCATTTCCTCTTAAGCTCAGACAAGAYATTAATAGCTACTGTACTGAGGGCAGAAAAGAGGTAATTATCAATGGGCAGTATTGCCAGAAGCCTGATGTCTTCACTTTCGGTTGTCGTAGTGTTTTGAAACCTGCTTTGTGAAGCGTGGGAGCAATTCATTGGTACTCTGCTGCTAATGGAGAAAATAAGCAAGATGATAGTCAGGGCTATGTGAGGGCTGGTATTTTGTAACCTGCTGGGACCAGAAGTAAATACCTCTCTGGAAGATAGGGAATCTTCAGCTTCCCCAGGAATGTAGTGTAAACACTCAGGATGTGCTTTCTAACCTCTCTTTTTAGGTGACCGTCGAGAGGATAAGGCTGACACCTTTGATTTTCCTTGCCCTTCAAGAAATATTAATAAAGCAATGAAACGAAAGAAACAAAAGGTAGAAAGCATGAGAGCYGAATGAGCTGCCTTTGCATCTATGAAAATAGTTTCCCGCTTGTTCTTTGTGTGTGAGAGCGTGAGGGAGATTAAAAGATTGAATTGGTAGTCTGTTACTGAAAACCTCACTTACAGGAAAGAAAAATGGGATTATTTTCTCTCTCTTGGGGCTTTAAAACTCTGGCTTTCATTCAATAAAGCACTTAGGTATGTGCTTACCTTGAGGAGTGAGTATTCTATTGACTTAAAGCATGTACTGAAATGCTTCCCTGGATTGGGGCCAGGGAGCTCCACACCTTGCTGGGTGAAACCTGGCAAAGAAAAACTCCGTTACTGCTCCTCCTCTTTTGATTATTTTGAACAAAGAAAGTCCACAGGTTACAAATAAGCAAAGAACAGAGTAATAGGTATTATTGCTATGCTACTAGCAATATAAAATTACCGTTTCATAGCAGTATTTCTGTTCCTGTTCAATAGTTCAACAAATGCTTGAAATTTAAAAAGACATATTTATTAAAATAGTAACTCGTTATGAGATTTTGTAATGTGTAAAGTACAAGTAATCAGCTAGACTATAATATAGAAATGTCACAGATACTTGATTTAAAACTAGGAAAATGCTACTGACTTCAGCAGATCAGCTAATAACATACTGTAATATTGCTCTTCTAGTTCATTAAATAGTCTTCAAAAGGAATGAGGCATATGTATTATGTTTTAGCAATAAATGTCCACGAGAAAGGAGTCCTTTAGATTTAAACCAGTTTCACAGATGAAGTTCAGCAAAAGACACAACATTAACATGTTAACAGCYGTTTATGTTTGCTAGTCTGCCTCTATCTTAATGCCTATGCCATTGTCAACATTTCCAGTTTATTGTTTATCATGCCACAAACTTAAAAAAAATGCCAGCTATAGATGGAGATTTATGACTCTAAAATAAAGAATATTTATAGAAAGACTAATACTAATATTTGCTAGGAAACAGGTTGGGCCATTGCTGAGCAGGAATCTGTGCACAGGGTTTGAGCTGAGCTGCTGTGGAGAGATTAGGCAGGAAAGTTGGGCTTCAAAGTCATCCTGGTGAATTCCACTCTCTGTTCTATAGGAGAAATTTTGATATAATTTTTTTCTTTTTTTCTTTTTTATATGCTGTATTAAAGTTCAATTTTATGTTTTAGTCTAAAGTCTGGCTTCGAGTCTGGAAAGTAATTTCAAAAATGCTTGAGGAAAATGAAAAGTTCAGAAGTCGACTGCTGGCTTGTAGTCAGTGCAATGGAGAAGGTAGGTACTGAACTGGTAAAGTTTTCTCATGTTAGAGAAAACAAGTTATTAATGCTTTGTGCTTTGACTTAAGATTCCTAGGTTTAAGGTCCGTTAGGTTGCTTGATTTGGGTAATATGCTTGGCAACTAAGAGATTATGGAATCATTACATACTTTAAACACTTCTAGTCATATATGAATAACTCTTGTGCTCCACTGAGGGTCCTGTAGAAAGTGTATTAGTTGCAGTTGGAAAGAGAGGGTAAAAGAAGTGTTTGCTGCAGTCCAGAACATGAAAAATATGAACATAAAAGATCATGAAAATATCTGCAAGTTTTTCTGAATATATGAAATATGCAATTAAACTATTCACAGACTGGTCTAAGGCAGTACTTGGGTGAATACTGCCTTTTTTTTTTCTTGCTATCACATAGGGAAATTGGAAAATAAAGGTTTGTTTTATTCAGCCAATAAATAAATTAGATGCTCCCCAAAGGTAGCTGTAATATAATTTAACATAGCCATCAAACACGTCCTCATACTGTGCCCTGAATACAGCTATTTCATTACTGGAAAATGGCTTGGGAATTAAAACTGGTGCTCTGCATTGAGACAGCTTCAATTAGAGACATTGTAGTTGCTGTACAATTTAAGATAATACAGTGAATGCTTACAAACGTAATTGGAATTTCTGGCATCACAATTTGATTAGTTTTTAGGGAAGAGAATACATGAATCCATTAAGAGATAAGCTACAAATGGTATACTCACCCCTCAGTGCTTCTGTTTAGCTTGCATTAGTGTTAGTATGAGTTTTGCACATATAGATGTGTTAGGATATATGCCAAAATGTGTGCAAATCATTGCCAGTATCTTATTTTAGTAAAAGTTTGCATGTTGCATACTGATTAGATTTCCACWTACATGCTATGAAGATAGTCCATCAAACATGTTGTTGTAAGAACAAAGGAAGTGCAGTTCTCATTCCAAATGGAAATCTGCCTGCTCCAATAATCTGCGACCAAAAGTGGATGTTATGGAAATWGTAGAAGAAAGAGGGGAAGTGTGGAATTATTCTTCCCTGGGTAATTCCCTCAGCTTTTAACTAAAAAAAAACACCCTTCACYAACTTACTGAAATCTGACATTTTATCAGTCCCTCTGTTCATTAGCTTCCGAAAGACTGATCCTGAAGTTATTTCTCTTTTTTTTTCTTTTTATTTAACCCATTTACATCTTTATCCTCCACAGCTTCCTACATCAATATATTTTCATGATTTATATATATATGGGGAAAAGCACTTATTTTTCTGTTTGTTTAAAGACTACAACCCAATGAATTCTGGTATTATAGGATGCTGAATATCAATTATCTACTATTCAACATGACAGTCATGATTCAATTGGTCTCTGCCATTATTTCTACTCCATTTTCTCTCTCAGCCTGAGAAGATCCCATTTAAAAACCCTCTCCTCATAGGGAAACTGTTTCCCARTTCTGATAATCTTCATTCTTCTATTACAGTGCAACCAGATTCTATCTATTGTTCATAGTTCAATGCTTATTTGTTTGCATTAAGGAAAGACGGTAAATATTGGCAGCTCTGACACAGTTTCTGACCCGTGATRGTCCAGGTAACTTCCTGTGAAATCTAAGGGGTCAGGCATGCATATCTTCCTCCTGAGCCACTCTGTTCGTGCCAGACAGGAGGAGATTGGCATGGGGGAGCCTTTTTGGACCTTGGACTTTTTCCTGTATCAGCCTGTTGCCGCAGCCATTGCAAAACTGTACTTCACTACTCTGGAAAGGTTTGGTCCAGCACCTTCAATATACATCTTCCCCCAGCTTACATCATTGTGGAAATTTGTGTGCACTGCCATTAATGCAGATGTAGGGTTTAGCATTTACCAAAGGAAAAATAACTTATTTGTTGTTTGTTTATTTTTAAAGAAAAGGAGGACAGGAGACAAGGAAGGAATCAAATCTTTATTATGTGATTGCCTCTGAAATTTCAAGTTCTTGTGAAAAAAGCAAGAATTCTGTTGATATAAGATCTCCTTGGTGGGCTCCCCATCTTAACACAGGGCTGCTTATCTGCTTTTCTGTTTGTTACAGATATGCAGTGGGCTATTTTGTCAAACTTGTACTTATCTCAGCACTGAACGGGCTGGGCTTGTCGCATTTCCTATACTCATTTCTTTTTGTCATCTGGTGGGAGGAGGAAGGGAAGTAGAGAACAGTATTATCTCTATTTGTAATTCCACTGACTTAAAAGCAAACAAACAAATAACACTCAAGCACTTATTCTACACTCAGTCCTACTGTAACTCATTTTTAGGAGCTTTATGTGAGGATCTGCTATAAAGCTCTACTTATTTGTAAAGCATCAACCCTAATACCTTCTTTTTAATTAGCAGGTTTTAAACAATATCACATCAAGGAGATCTGAATTTTTCATTAAACAAGAAGCAAATGGAATAATTCTGGCAGAYGTTTAGATAGAAATCAACAAATCTGAATTAATTGGCTTCAGCTTTTCGATTTTTACTAAATTAATAGAACTAAAAAATCAATGCTGCACTTTATTGCCTCTAAAAACAGTTTTCTTGGGAGACAAAAATCTATTTGAGTTCTAATGCTGCCTATTTAATCCCTGAAAAGCTACAATTAAAGTTAGTGTCAGTATGACTGAAAATGATGCCTTTATATCATATTCTTGCACAGGCAGTGACATGAACCAAAGTTCACAGAATGAGGCATCCTACCTGGACAGGGTATGTATGTAATCTGATAACTGTCAAGCATGCTTAAATGATAAAATAAGTTAAATGATAAAATAAGAAAAATTTAAAGATGCATAGATATTGTTTGATACTGCAAATAAGTAACAGTCGTCGTCTTTGGTATTACTGCCATTGGGCTCAAACGTTTTTAATGATCTTAGTCACATGTAGGAAGGAGCAGAGCCCTGTCCTCAGCAGGAAGGGCTGAGTGCATTGCCAGGCTCGGCACGTGGATTTTGCCCTTTCAAAGGCAAAATTCCTTTTCCTGCTCCCCAGATCTCTCCATGTATTGGTATGTGTCAATGACTCCSCATTCTGTTCTTCCTACTTCTCCCATCAAGGCTCTTTGCCTCCCTAGTCTCCATAGCTCTTTCCTGACTTGACTGGAGTGTGGGTGTGCATCACCATAAACTTTCTCTCCTTTACCCCTGGAAGAATATTCACAGCCTGTTAAGGAACTTGGGTCAATGAGCCTGAAATTTGCTGAAGTCTGATATTCGCCTACATACATATGCTGACATTTTATATCTCCTCTTAGCAGACAYGAGAGCACAAGTGCAGCTGCCAGAATACTGCAGTGTTTCGGAATAATTTAATGTACAGGCTTTATGATCACATGATTTTATTTTAAAACATTCTGCTATGATCATGAGTGGTATTTGGTGCAAAGAGCACAACTTTATAAACATAAATACGTGTAGCTTCAGACTGAGAAGAGTCCGAGTGGGAAGTACATGCGTAATATGCTGGGAATGGAGCAAAGTTTAAGGCTGCCTTTATATTTAGGTACTAAGGAAACTCCCCATTAGCTCTGAACTCACTACTTAAAGCAATTTCTTGTACATAGTTGTGGCCAGTCTAGAAGTGTCATGTGTGCTCCCTTGAGTTAAATCCTGCTGTAAGAGTCTAACATATAACACAACAAATTTGAACAGTGTTTATTTAGCACACTTTATATCCAACTTCCCTTCCGTCTCTTCTTTTTCTTCTAGGAGGGGTCCATCTTTGGCTGGGTATAGCAAGAAAATAAAAGAAGTTCGAATTTGAYAGAAATGAAAAAGTAGATATACTTTATCTTTGGATCCAGTTTCAGTGAAAATGAGATTAGATCTCCTGTTTTTTGTTTGGAGTATGTATTTCTACTGTTTGAAAGTTTGATTTTAACATGATTTAAACAAAACTGTTGTGAGATATTTGTTTGAAGTCATTAAGTCTAGTATTTCACTTCGATATTTTAATGAGCATAAGGCTGTGACAGTTTGTTTGCAAGAGAATAGATACCCATTCAGTGTTGGCTGTATTTGTATCATACTGTTTTGTAGCCTGTCAGAATCATAAACAAATGTAAATTCAGTAAAGTAAAACTCCCCATAAAATCTGTAGAAACATTTTTGTTCTCAGTGATTTGAATAATTTTGATTTTATTACATTAAAATAATATGCAATTGCTGTTCTGTTCTTTCAGCTATTTATAGATGAATCTTTGCAAGTAGTTGAATATAAAAACAGGTGAATGGTTTCTGTTTTGTTGCTCATTGTGAAACAGCGATATTGCAATCAGAAGGTATTGTTTATCTGGCTGACTTTAATAACATGATAAAATTTTATTCGTTTATGGTCTTTAATATTTATGCTTTAGATTGACTGTYAAATTCTATTAAACTAGTAAATTCATCAAAAGGAACATGAAGACCATATAAAAATGATTTATATGTGAGTCTCTATAGATAAAACATTCACCTGTGACAATTAGACATCCATTTTCTCCAGTGGAATTGCAGTTTTCTCATTTCATGATATCTTAGTGTTTGCACATATAACAAGTTTCAGAGTACTGAACTTTAGTAACATGCTACTGCTTGTGTCATTAAGCAACAAAACATGTGGAAGGTTTTAGCCAATTTTCCTAATAGAAAAACTGCAAAAATAGAATGTGCCTTTTTATAATTACTCAGGCATCGAAGTTCTCTGACTTGTATTTGAGTAATTTTCAGATTTTATTTGAAATAGTTGATATTTCAGCTTGGAAAAGGAAGTGAGAAAGCAAAGTGTTACACAAAGATGTGACCGTGTTTCCGGCAGGGAAAAAATTTGATAGTTGGATATTTTCAAAAAACATGGTTGGAATCACATATATGTATATGTATAGTTTTAATAAAGGAGGTGGATTTCCTGTTCTTACAGTTTTATCATTGAAATGTTTGCGTGGAGAGGGTGTAGTTTACAGTCCCAGATTATAATTTCTAGAGTTGCTGCTCTAAAATTTGGTTTCTTGAAAACTACAGTTTTCAAGCAGGGTACAGCTGCAGTTGATCCTGGCACAGACTTAAAGGACCATAGACCCTTGTAATTTCTTCCAAGTGTAGAATTCACCTTTCAGAGGACAGAAAGGCACCTCAGCTTAAAGCTCTGAATGAAATGTACCCGCTTCATTGACAATCTTTTGATAAATACAGAACAATGTCTTCAGGGTCATTTTAAAAGGAAGAAATCATAGATGATAACCATGGATCTAGATCACCCCTATGCTTAAACCTCTTGAAATCTAAAAAGTCTGTGTGGGTTGGTTGTCAAGAGCTGCCAGGGCTATTTGATAGCGCCTTACTCGCCTGCTGCAGTCACTTTGTGTGTGTGTGAACATCCAGAAAGCACAAGGGCGGCCTCGGGCTTTTACTGCTCACGTGTAGGAGTGGAGTGGTAGCAACTCCTGCTTTGTGTGTTAGAAACCAGTGAGGGGAGACAGTCTCGCCCCAGCACTGCCCAACAACAGTGGATTTGTTAAATTTTGCAGGGGGACAGATGAGCCGTAGGGTGGGGAACTTGGGAATTGTGTTTTGGAAATGTTTTGATGTTGCTGAAGTGACCTTTCTGGCACTGGCCAGTTTGTGGGCATTTTCAAAAGAGTTTGCTTCCTGCCTGATTTGGAGCAAAGCCACTGAGTCAGATAAACCCTATTTCCTGCAAACTTCTGCTTATTCTTCATCTCTTTTGATGTTACAATGAATCAGACTCCTTGGGTCCAACAGCAGCGCTTCTGCAGTCCTGTGCCCYGAGATTATTGTGACTTGCCTATAATAACATAATCAGTCACCAAAGTTAATAATACTTAATTGCGGATTTCTTCCATATRAAGATTTCAACCCTTAAACAAATCCTGAGAAGTGGATGTGGAGTTTCTGTCGTGGTCAGATTTTGGAAAATTATAAAATGACCTTTGCTTCACTAATGGTCGCATTCATTAATTGCCTCTGACTGCAGGGCCCTCTCTAGTAGTCAGTGTTCTACTTTTAACTTCAAAAGTTCTAACACAATGTTGCATGGCCTCTAACTAAGGAAYAACCTTCAGCAAGCAGTTCAATTCTGTTGTTTCTTTGGAAAGAGACTTAAAACAAATTTGGGGGCATATGTGACATTTTATGAATATGTGCAGTAGTCTTCGACACAAAACAAAATGGGATACAAGTTGATTAGGAATTTGCACACACAAAAAAAGCAGCTACACTTTGATGAGTTTAACAGTATAGATTTTYCACCAAATTGCAGTAGCAGGGGAACATATGACTTAGGTGAAAGTTTACTTTGTGATGAAAAGAGCAAGTTTTATGGAAACATATTGAGTCCACTGTGAMTTTTTAATAAATATTTATAAACAGTACACATGGTTTAGTGACAGCTTCATGGACATCTGATCTGATGGTGAAAAACTGTTTAGAAGTCTCTYCTGGCCTTGTAGCTCGCGAAACTCTGCTGTTTGTAGTTACAGCTTCATTCTGTTAGAAGCAGAAGATACGGTCAGTCTCTTAGGAAAAGGTAAGTATGCCTCGATCCCGAGAGGTTGAACACTTGCAGAGAGACTTTGAGTACGCCCAGCACCTACTGACTGTGACACTTGTCCTAACATGGCCTTATTGCATCTTCCGTGCTGGATGTGCATGGCATGATAATGAGAGGATCTCTTTTATTGCTCTAACTTGTGAACTCTCTTGCGTGGCTGAGGTAAGTGATTCTGCTGAATTACGAGTGTTGCTGGACTGCTTATGAATGCCTCTGATTTGTGTATTCTCCCAGTGATCACCACAAGAATACATTAATGCTGTGAATGCATGAAATTTATTGCATATCTGTCCTTGCAGAGACGAGTAATGGGGGCAAATTACAAGAGCAATGCAGCAAAGTGCTCTAAGGCACCAAAAAATGCTGCCTCTCCTCAAGAATCATTGTAATGATTGTATTTTGAGTTGAAGGATAAACTTACATGGCTTTTTCCCCTCTTCTTCTGTATATATATTTGTGGTTACTATTATGTGTGTGATAGGACACACAGTGTGATGTAATTTTGTCTAACAGCTGAGTTCCATCCATAGTAATGGTTACAAGTAGTTAGCCTCTTCTTAAAGCACATCGTCACTTTTTATACCTGCTGTAATTTTAAACTCCTTTAACTACTTACTCTTCTTGACTATAAAATTCTTAGTATCATATTAATTTGTCTGTGGAGCAATCTTCCAGGGAAAGGAGCAGAAATGCCCTCCTCGCTTTGCTCTGTTGTCCTAGACAGAGCAGAACAACTGGGAACGTGCATGAAGGAGCAGCTTGGGGCCTTGGCAGAGATCGAACTTGTCCCATCATAGTCTTGGCAGCTCAGCAGTTCCCTCAGGCAAGTATTTCAGTGGGAATAGTCCCATATTTTACTTGAGGAAGAGGATGTAGTAGAAATCCTTCCCATGTTGACACGTTCTGTCTTAAGTGTTACTTTGCATCTAAATCACATCTTTTCCTCCAGGAAAATGCAAGCCCAAATTCATGACCATACGCATCTGTTCTGTCACAGGACTTCAGGTGAAGACTGGATTTGGCTCAAACTCTCTCTTGAAATTCTATACCTGTTATATTTCCTGTGCTGGTAGAGCATTTTGGGAAGAATTGATGTGAATGCTGGAGAAACAAGCCTGATGTTTCCGCAGAGCAGTCTCTGATGCAGCTGAGGTTCTTCTAGGACTGCCGTGATTTAGCTTGTCTGAATTCCTGGAATTTTGTTCTCAGTAAGTTTTGTAGTTTCGAGGAATTTCTACTGCCTGTCCCTATGATTCCAAATACTTGCACTGAGAATCTGAGCCCAGGTATTCAGTAGATGGAAATAAAGAGAATTAATATGTTACAATAGTATGCAAAAGCTATACAAGAAAAATGCATGCTGTACTTGAAGTACATTTTCTAAAGGGAGTTGAATAGCACAAGAGTTTCATAGCTCATGGAACAAGGATGTAAAATTATATTCATGAACATTGAGGAGAAGTTGATTTATGTGTTCAGATCTGAATTGGGTAGAAGTTGAAGTATGCTGTGACTGAGACATGTCTTTTAGAAGTTACAGTATTTGAAGTACATTGAAAGGTCATAGTCAGGCCCTGTTAAAGATCTTAAGTGTCTCAAAGATACCCAATACTCTTTAGTGTAAATAGATAATGAAAACAGTAACTCTCCTCTGATTTATTTAACTGAAAATAGATAATRTATCATGAGAGTCTTATTAAAGAATAAAAAGAAGCATATATTTTTGTTGACAGAAGAAATGTATTGTTTGTTTCTCCGGAGTCTCATGTTGCTTGTACTGCTGCTTTGTCTTATTCCCAGTCACCGAGCCGCCGTGTGGGTGGATTTGCATGCTGTATTCACTTCGTAGGAAAGGCTGTAAGTTGCTCTTTGATTTGTTGTATTCCATTGGCTTTGCTTTAATGGTGTCCCTAGGGACTGTTCTCCTCTCAGATCTTGTTCGCAACTTTAAACATCAATTCCTCCCGTGAAGCATCCTGCTCTGGGAGCTTAGCCCTGGTAATGTGTGTCTGTTTGTGCAGCTAGCAGTGTGCAAAAAGGTGGTGTTTTCAAACTGAAAGGAGGCACACTGTCCTGAAGTAGTTAGAGGGCTTGCATCTGGAGGAAATACAAGTTACTTAATGCTAAGGAGGGGGTTGAGTAATGCAGTATCTTTCTGCACATCTCTGCCTACCACACTGCTGAAATTCTCAGATGATGGCGCTGAACCTGTTGCTGAAAAGTGCTTCTATGCTGAAAAGTCGTGAGGTAAAAGCAGCGTGTGCTGACTTGTCACACGTCCCCTCTGCTAGGACTCAGCACTAAAACCCCTTCAGTGCCAAAGGGCTGTAAGCCTGCCAGCCATCAGCGACTAGCAGCGCATGAGCTGCGCTCTCTGCATGACACAGAAGATGCTCTAGAGAATTCAGTTCCCTTCAGGTATCACCAGGTTTGCGGCTGCATGGAAGGTATTAAACAGTGCCAGTGATGCACAAGAGGAATGGGATTTACCTCACTGCCCCTTAGCTACATTACTCTGAAGAGTATTCAAGTATAACCAACAAAAGATAATATATTAAACCATGCAAGCATAGCAGCATATTCAAATGAATAGATGAGCTGAATGAGCAGAGGCCTTATTTGCAACCTTATTTTTCACAGTGTAAGCATCCTTTTGAAGGATTTGCACAAGGGCTTCTGGAGATTTAACAGCAGTGTATTTGTATAAAGTGCTGCTTAAGATTTTTCTTAAGTCAGAGGTACTGCCTAGGGATCAATAAGAGAGCATTTTGGCTAGCAGGATATTCTTTGCTAATATTGATGTACATGAAGAAAATTTAGTATTCGCATCACAGAATGAATTTACAGGCTAGGAAAGATGTCCATTTGCTTTTCAACAGAGCACTCTCGTGCCCCTTGGTAAATGGCAGATAGGAGCTGGAAAGGCACAATGCCATTTCTGTGCAGTTGCAATGCAACGTTTCCTATGCCTGTTTTTAATAACATTTTCCAGCCCCTTCAGTTAAACAGTTGTCTTGCTGACAGAGGGGCTAGAGTAGCTCAAATGCATGCACTCAGCAGAAGATAACTGTGCAGTCTTTATATCTCTTTGGATAGTGAAATCACTTTAGATGATACAATCTCTAATATAGTGAATGCTGGAGAAGGAGTTGGTGCAAGCGCACTTTCCAAAGGACGGGCTTTGCTCTGAAGTGTGTTGCTTCCAGTGTGCTGCCAGAGCAGGAGATGTTTCCTTTCTCCTCAGCCCCAGCAGGACCTCAGCGGTGGTGCTGGGGCCAGGGCTGGGCTCCCCAGCATGAGAGAGACATGGGTTTTTTGCAAGGAGCTCAGCAAAGGGCCACGAAGGCAGTTCAGGGCTTGGAACTTGGCCCTATCACACAAAGAGGGGTGGTTTYGCCTGGGGAAGAGAAGGCCTGGGAGGATCATCAATGTATATGAGTACTTAACACATGAAGTAAAAGAARACAGAGCCAGGCTCTTCCCAGTGGTACCTAACCATGGCACTGCAAACAAGCTCATACCCAGGCACTGGTCTTTCCCTTCCAACATGCATCTCTAAGTGAATTTTCCCCAGTGAGTTCTCAAAGGCTTTATTATGGAAACAGTTTACGCCTTTTAGGAGTATATTTAGGTCTTGTAAAAGAGGCCAAATTGCAAGCTCTGGAAGCAAATTCTATATTTATAAACAAATCAGACTAAAGCCATCCCAAAGTACCCTCTGTTTCTAAGCAAAGCACTACACCCTCTTCTTGCAGAGGCTGTTTGAAGTGGTGCTGAAGAGCAGCATTGAATTTGTGTGCAGACCAGCCTGTGACTCTCTGGCAGCCCCAGGTGTGGTGGTGAAGATCCACCCGCCCGGCTCYGCAACCCAAAGCAGAGCCCTGCACAGTGCCAGCTGGCGTCGTGGGCTTGCTGTTCCCCCAGCCATGGCCACGTTTGAGGTAGACCCCAAGGACTTTGCRTGATGCATTGAGTGGGCTGTGGTCATTGGCAGCGTGGATGCAAGCTGGGGAATGGACGGTCTCCACGGCCCACGGGTGATGCCACCCGTGTCCTCCTGCAGCCTCACAGCTGGTGCATGGGCCTCTCCAGCCTAGGGGCTCCAGTGCATCTGCAATGTGCGCTGGTGGCAGCCAGCACGGGGACACAGCAGCAGTGTGCACTGCTCACAGCCAGCACGGGGACACAGC